AGTCAGGATGGCAGCGGTGGGCAGTCCTTCCTCCCTAGAGGAAGACAAACAGAGTTGCTCTCAGTGATTGCTCTTGCGCAAGACGATGGCCTGAGCTGCTGCGCGGGCGCATGAAGCTATTGGAAAGGAAGCAGATCGTGACAGTGTGAGAGCAAAGGCAGGCAGGGGTCTGCTGTGTATCTTTGCCGCTTTTTATCTTATTACCATGTTAGTAAAAACCTTGCCAAGGCAACCTGAGCTGGTTACTTGTGGAATAATTGCTCATGTTGCCTCCTCATAGGTCAGAGGAGGGGGGGTTTAAGTGAGTTAAAAGAATAATTGTTCAGAGGGGACAGTCTGTTTGAGGAGGGTCATAACTGCTAACCACTGTGACTGAGGTCCAGTTTTATTGCTTTTACTCCTGCAGAATTAATGCAGGGTTTGTGGGGCAGATGGTTTTTGCTCTGACTCACACAAGCAGCAGAATCGTAATATGTTTAATGGCACATTCTGTACACTAGATAATAATGATGTGTGAGCAGGAAAATACTAGGAATTAATTTTAGGATCAGCAGTCTGGAGTGAGGAGTGATGTTTCTCTCTTCTCCTGAGGACCACAGCCGGCTAGCTCTCCATTCAGTACAGAATGGAGGCTCGGGGTTTTGACCTGATACCAAAACCCCTCTATGCTGTTAGTTCAGACTCCAGGGTAACAATTCTGGCCATGGGGCAGCCTGATGGTGTGGTGCCGCTGTGTTTCACTAGTGCAATGAGTAGTGGTGTTGCCCGTGACCAAGATGGGGAATGGCTGGTGGGCACTGAACTGTGGCACCCGCCATGCAGAAAGTCATGACTGAGATCAGCCGTTCTACTGCGGATAGCAAGAATATTCTCATTTGTTGTAATATTAGCAGAAATACTGGGGAGAAGACATGGAATGCCATGGTTCACAGCAGGGTTAATATGAGGGAGCAGATGACCTGCATCTCTCTGGGGTTACACATGTCGCTTACACCTTCTTCCTAATCAGCTGGTTTTGATGTGTGTTAGACTTAGTATTTTTAGACACTTCTTAGCTTGGTGCCTTCCAATTTTGTGTACTTCCATGACAATGCGTCCTCCTCACTATCCTTGCACATGTGAAAATAAGAAAACAAATCCTTTGCATCATGGCTATTATTTTTTTTCTCTGTAACTTTGGAAGGAATTTAATACCATTTAACAGTACTCACGGCGCTGAGCAAAGAGCATTTCAGGACACATCACTGACACTAGTAAAGATTCACAACTTCCATTTTACTGCATGGAGGGGCTCAGACCAAACTCACTGAGCATCCCTCAAGAGAGGAGTAACAAAGCCAGCACTTGGACTCTGAATTTCTTTCCTATCTGGACAATCAGATCAGCAGATTTGAAAGCTGGTTATCACAGATTCATATACATTTTGGAAGAAAGTGACTTTTGGTAAAGTTGCATCCTGTGTAGGATTTCAGATTTTGTGTTGTCAAAGGCTACATGAGCGTGAAGATATCCAAAGCAGACAGAGCACGTCCAGTGTGGGTTTCATTGATTTAGTGCAGCGTAATCATGTTTGGGTGCTTGAATGTAACATGAACAAAGCCAACCAGCTGAGGTATTGAACTGCTTCTTCTCCCAACCCGTCCTTAGTGCCTGGCAAGCTGGAACATGGGAAACTTCTCAGAAAAATTTATAAAGAAGGACTGGGATGCTGCTCCTCTTTCTAACTGGGAAGCTGAGCAGAGAACTCAACTGCTGTAGTTACCCAGACTGTCTGTGGAAAATACAAAACCAGATCCAGGTCCCAAGTCCCAGGCTAGTGTCCTGTCTATGAAGTCCTCTGGCAGTATTCGTTCTGTTAAGGCAACGTAGAGGAAAGCTGTTCTAACAGGAGGGAAAACTGGAATCCCTTTTTGAAAACCCATTCTGACAGCTGGCATTTAATTTTTTCCAGCAACTGAGTGTGTGGATCAGGAAAAGAATAGTGGAGTTCCTGGCAAAAGAGAGAACTGAACCTAATTACAAGATCATGTCACAGGCTCATTAGATATCCTAGTGGATACCTTTGTTTTGTACCTGTCATTTTAAATTATTTTCTTGCTTTACTTTGTGTTTGTTTTGTAGGTGCTGTCTTCAGGGCAGTGTCATTTGTCATAACGCCGTGATAGAGAAGGGCGCAGACATCAAAGACTGTTTGATTGGAAGCGATCAGAGGCTGGAAACCAAAGGTAAGCAGCAGAGCTGTATTTACAGTGCCTTTGTAATAATTTTCAGGAATTCTTCCTTGAGGTTTTTACTCCTGCTTCTTCATGAAGTGCCAGTAAACAGTGGCAGCTCTACAGTGTGATGTCCTATAATATTGGGATTTGTTTTTCATGGAAAGTACAGCTTCTTGGCATAAGAGTACTTCAGGGACTTGCTCCTCTGAAGTTGACAGAAAAGCTCTGTTGTTATAAAGAAAGATTGGGTGCTAAGACAGTCTTTTCCCAGAGACCACAATTAGATCAGCCTGGAGTTGTCCTCAGCAGAAGGAGCCGTTATTTGGACTAGTAATCTTTGTTGATCACACAGACATCCTTCTCCACCAACCCACATTGCCAGTGTGCTCCCATTCCCGTTGCTCCAAGCAAGAAATTGAGGTGAAATATCATACTAGGAGCTGCTGTGCTCAGTACTAAATACAAGGGCAGCTGCGTTCAGATCTGCTTTACTGCTATGAAATGCTATTTTGGGACTTCAGAGAGATTACAACTACATGGCCTTCATTTGGGCAAAGTTAAGCCATCCGTTGGAAGTGTGCGTGGGGAGGGCTCGGTGGTAACCGCCTGAGTGGAACTGTTGATTTCCTGCCCTAAGAGATAATGGGCAGGAAATGGCTGTCTCAGTGACTGCATCCCAAGCAGAGGGCTTTTAATGAATATTTATTGTTGGGGTTTGGCAGATCCCCACTCTAGGGTGTGGACTGAGGACAAAAGTGAGTTCCTTTGCAGGCTCCATGTGAAGTTATTTACTCAGATCAAGATTTGTTTGCTTGCTTTGTCTTATGGGTGGCTTCCCAGTTTTAAGTGTTGTGATACAGAGCACAGTTTGCATATGTAGTACAGAGTTGCCTATTGCCAGCTATGCATATGACAAATTTTCCTTTAAATTGAAACTAAAAGTAAAAAAGACTTGTGAAAACCAAGTATTGATCTTGCAGTTGCAAGTCTCGAATACTGTAAGAAACACCCAGTGAGTGTTCTGTGCACTGTGGTCTTGGTTCCTCTATACCAGAGTCTGTGCCTGCTCATGGCTTTGCCCATCACATGAGTCTGAATCGGTGGCCTTTGCAGTATTCACTGCCCCCCTATCACTGAAGATTTGGACTGTTTATGATGCCTGAACATAGAATCATTTAGGTTGGAAAAGACCTTTAAGATCAGTAAGTCCAATCATTAACTTACCACTGCCACACTACCAAGTCCCCCACTAAACCATGTCCCGAAGCGCCACATCTGCATGAATCACTAGGAAAGCTGAATCGAGTCATGTTTGGTTGTTAACCTGCAGCATGAACTGTGAGGAGACAGAGTGTAGCTTTAGCTAATATTTTAGGAAATAGGAATATGTTTGATTTCTTTAGTAGCTTAGGAAATAGGAATATGTTTGATTTCTTTAGTAGCTTATATCAAACAGAAATATCACCTTTTGACCTCACTCACATCTGCTTCAGTAGTCTCTTCCAGTGCGCAGATCCTAGTCTGGTTGATTTTAGTATGGAAATCATTTGCTGTTCTTGATTGTCCTTGTCTGAATATTTTTCATTGTCTGTAGATGTATTTGCAGGGAGAGCAATGCAGCTGTAACCTGTGGTTCATTTGCCTATTCTTGTAACCTACTGCCTGCTCATCTCTCCAAAGCTTAATGAGTCCGACTTCTTAATAAGTCCCACTTCTTAATAAGTCCCCCTTCTTAATGAGGGCCCTCTAGTTAAACTGTTCAGAAACCTATGATTGACATTAGCAAAGACACATTCAGGTAGACCATGAATACACCATTATGCTGAGCAAGAAAAAATAACAAGCCTCAGTTCATTTCCCTGCCTCAGTTTCCTAACCATTCTGGAATTTCTTTGGGCTGGGGGTCAGGTTCTCCTCGGTGGTCTGGGATCTGTCTGTGAAGTTCATGACTTACTTCCTGAACTGTGGAGTCTTTCCAGCCCAGTGTGTCTCTTCTGACCTTGGCTGGTCCTGTAGTAAACTGGGCCCTCTCTTTTCCCTGTGAAAGCATGCCATGACTTCCTTTCCCCTGCCCAAGACTTCCTCTATCTTGTGCCAAGCTTTTGGTGTGGCCCTGTAAGTCTGTTTCCATATTCCTCCTTTCATCAAGACTTTGGCTGTGTTGTTCTGTTTGGTAAGTTTTCCTTCTTCAAACTCGAGCTTCCATGGCCAGGCTAGAAAAAAAAACTCTTTCTCTTGGGTTGAAGCCACCTTTTGTGCAAGCTGATCACACTTGAGCAGACGTAAGCGGTAGCAGCTGGCTGCTGACCCTAGTCTGGGAGTTACATGCTAGAAAACCTCCTCAGCAAAGCTGCATACACCTTCCCAGAAACATGAAAAAAGTAGAAATACAGCAGTCCCTTATTCCAGAGCCTCAGCCAGGATTCATCAAAGGTAGAAATATCCCTGAATCATCCTACACAGCCCCAAGCAAATCCCACAGTTGACTTTGCTGCAGAACTGGCTGTGTGCTCCCTGCTCTGCTGTACGAGTCCTGGCCACACTGCTTGGGGTACAGGAGCTCTTTGAGCCAGTGGTGCACTGACCTCCTTTCAGAAATGAACTCCAGTCCCATGCAAGGAGGATGGCAGGAGAACAGCTACCACAAATGATAGGCAAACGTAACTTAAACCAGCTCTCATCCTCTTCCTTCTGTGTAAGAGTATGGGCATATTTAGGGTGGTCCAAATGGTACAGCTGGGAGTAATGTGATTGAATTAAACACAATTTAGGTTGGCTATCTGGAACGTTTTCCTAACGATGTGGTCTGGTAGGCTGTGGGATAATCTCCCTGGGGACATGGTGGGAGACCTCATCACTTAATAATGGGCTTGGCAAAGCTCTGGACACCTAACTAGAGGTTACTGGGGTAGATCAGATGCAGCTTAGTATTTTTAACCTGAAAAGAAAGTTAGAGACACAGGACAGGGCAGGTAACTGTCTGCAATGATGTCCCAGTCTCACATTAACTTAAGCCCCATCACAGCACTGGCCAGAGATGGTACTTTTAAGTGCCTCTGTTAAAGTCAAGGTATGGAGTTTTATTAAACTTCTGGATTTGCAAGCCATGCCTCCTGAGAGTCATACTGTTCTCTTCCTACTGCTTTTATTACCATGCTTAGGAAGCATCCACTTTCCTTCCTCTTTGATACTTTAATTTAAGGAATTTGCCAGCAGAGAATTAACAGATGGGCTTTGTGAAGCTACCTCACACAGGTAGCAGTTTGAAAAACACTTCGGTACCTAAGAAAAAGGAGGTAATTATTAAAGGGGTAGGAAATGGCAGGCAGCAGTTCTGAAAGAACTTAATTGCACAGAGCATTCAATCACTGCTTCAAAGACAGTTATTAGAATCATGCTCCAGTCTTTTTGATGAATCTATTTTAAAAGAAGAGCTCAAAAGCAGCATCCACTTGTTGAAGTAGGACTAGAAGGAGGGAGTGCTGGTGATGGGCCAGTCGAGGAGTCAGATGAGCCCTAGAGTCAGTAAATACAGTTCCCAAAGGAGTCTCGAGGCCAGATTCAGCAGGGAGTACATTATACATCTGGTATAGGTTATCTGGGAAGAGGCATACACAGTAAAGGGCCTAACCTTTCTTCAAAGCAACGCCAGGAACAGAGATGGTAAAGGCACACACACACAGAGGCTAGAACTAGCAAAACTGACATAAAACTCACAGTGTTATCTCTCACCCTCATCTCTGTTGTTGTTGGAGCAGGGATGTTTTATGTGCGTTGGGAATTATGGAGCTCACTGTTGTTTAGGGACAGCCTGAGTCATTGCAAATCCAAAAAGTGCATTACAGGAGTGTTGTTGCCACAAAGCATATGTTCAGAAAGGGAAAAAATACCAGCATTCAGGATGCTGATGTAATCCTAGCTTGGTATCCTGGTACAAACTTGGTAGCAGCATTACCTCTGTGGTCAGGCTGTAGACTAGAACTGCAATGTGCTTGTTCCTGTGCAGTTTTTATGCCACCATATATTTTTATTTTCCTTGGTGCTCTGACACAGTCAATATCCAGAATGAGTAGTGCTTGCTGAATGTGGGGGTTTTCCATATTCCTCATTTTCCTGTCTTGTTTCAGTTTGTGTCTGAAACCTTAATTACTGTACACTGTGCAAGAGACAAGATCCTTCCTTTCTATGGCTTTTCTGCAACATTTGTCATCTTAATGCTTCACAACTGTTAACAACTTCAAGTTTCACCTCCTCAATTTGAACGTGGTTGTTTTTTTCTCTATTTTACAGAGACCTGAGAGACAGGGAGATTCCAATCATGTACCCATTCATTTAGGCTGCCCAACTTAAGTGCTGAAGTTGCATGTTACATGTGGCATTTCTTAGCTATTACGGACTTGACATTTTAGACTTAGCATTTTCTTTGTGAATGTAGGGAGAGAAGGTTCAGTCCACTGAAAAAAGAAACAAGGGAAGTTTTATTATGCAGGATTGGCCCTTGCATGGACCATTAGCAGTGTCAGAAACTTGAACTCCACTGTACTGCTTTCTGCTGCTTCAGCTGATGGGAACTGATAGTGATGGATCATCTTCTAATGAAGAAGAAGAGCTGGATCTGCAGTGGGACAAGAGACACTTTGCGGGAGGTTTCACAGATGCCCATGGGCATCAGCAGCCCTCAGATCCACTCCTGGTGCTGGGAGAAGAAGGCTGTAGTTACTGTAGGCTTTACTGTTCCTGTTCCCAGCATCAGCCATTGAGCCCCAACTACATCTCGTATGTCCTGCATGATCCTGACTTCACAGGTCCCTGCTATGTCATTGTCCCAGGACCAGAATCATCCCATTCCTAGTCTTCTCTTTGTTTTTTCCTCTAGTCTTTCTTACATGGAGAGTCTTGGTTTTCCCTTTTACTTGGTTATTGCCAGACATCCACCTGACTCCTCCTGTGCTTTTTCCAGTCCCCTTGCCTAACAGTCCCATGCTCCATTTCCCATCTGGCACTTGCCCCCTGACTGCTTTGGGTCAGACTACATCCCTTTCCATCTGCCATCATGCCCAGGCAGGATCATTCTGGACACAGGAGGGAAGCGGTTCTGTGCACTGCACTGGTCCACAGAGCAGGGTTACAAGTGTGGGGGAAGCCCTGCCTTCCTCCCGCGCTTCCATGGTCA